AAGTTTTCTTAGTGCAAATTCAAGTCACAGAGCTGCTACTGAGGTTCAGTTCTTTCCCTTCACCTCCTGACACCACTAATAAAGCTCTCCCTTTCCTCTAAGTCATTATTTGAACAAACTTAAGTTGTCGTGGAGCGGAGGGAGGGAGGGTGATCACAGCCTCAAGGCTGCAGGAGCTGGTGCTGCAGAAGAACCCTGGCCATGTGCTCGCTGTGCTCCTCTGAGGCAGAAGCTCTTTGCAGTTGCAGAGCATTATGCAGCATTTCAGATAAACCTCTCGGGCATGGCCCAGGGCACTGTGAAGGGTGTCTGAGTCATTGTGCTAACAAGGAGGCAGCCCCTAACGAATCCACCTCTGCTCTCCTGCCTCTCCAGGAGGGAAGGGAGAAACCTCAGAGTGCTCCCTAGTCAGGTTTGTCTTCACAGGAGTTTCTCACTCTACAGATGACCAGGAATCTGCTGGATGATGCACTGATCCATCATGCCTGGCAGGTGGATCCGTTGACTCAGTATTGGGGTATTAAATTTTGTGTCAAGTGTTGTGTTTGCAAGTCTCAAGATAGCCCAGGCTGCAAAATGTTGCTTGCCCCAGGCTGGAGTAGGGACTGGGGAGTACAGGTAGGGGTCCAGAGCTGTGAAAACACTTGGCTCACTGCCATCCAGAAGAGCCTCAGGGAACAGTGTCTTTGGCTACGAAATGGCTGATGTGTGTGTCAGACTCCACTAAATAGGAGCATGGGTCCCACAGCCCTTCCTCCTGGCAGGGAGAGCGCTCACCAGGAGCAGGCTCTTCACCCCCAGGGCCACAACTCCAGTGTGTTGGGACCACAACTGGGGCTTTGCTGATTTCTCTAGTAAAAATAACAGTTGATTTTACAGTGCATTGCTTTTGTGTGCATTTTTGTAAAGAAGGTCCTGTAGTGGGAGGGAGCAGCAGGGGAAATCCTGGCTGAATAATACTGTTCTGACAACTCACCCCCACCAGTAAAAGATGCTCAGCCCTTGAGGCTCCAGCTGAAGGGTTTCTGCTGGTGTACCCCATCCCAAATCCAGGCCAGCCAGGCTGTAGCTCTGACATGCTTCCCCAGGCTGCTTTTTCTGATGCAGGTTCCGTGGAGGATGCCAGGAAGGTGTGGGTAGGAAGGAAAAGAAGAGGAACAGATACAGAGGGGTCTCAGCAGCTGCCTGGGCAGCTCACAGTGCACCACGGTCCAGCTCTGCAGCTTTGCATCATTAAGGACACGGCTGGGTTTCTGGTTTGAATGCCACCTGTTATTCCTGATTTATGCCTGTGGGATTCACAAGCTATCTTGCTGACCGTCCCATTATATTGTATGTAGAAGGTCCTGGGCCCACTTTTTATTGATTTCCCTGCTCTCAGAGACCAGTCCCCATCTCCTTCACTGTGTCTGTGACAGAAGTTTTATTATCGCAAAATGAATATCCTCTGGAGAAAGAAGGGCAGAAATTAATAATGAATTAAAACAACTTGCCACAGGCATTGCTAATGAGCTCTTTGTCTGCGAGGCTCACATGAAAGGAGGTCATTGCTCAGCCGCTCCCATTGCGAAGGACAAGCAGATTAACATTGAGCGCATGGGTCTCTCCTGAGACAGCAGGACGGGCTGCAGCTCGGCCAGCCCAGCTTGTGCCTGGCAGAGTTCTCCTGCCCTTATCCCTGCTGTGCCGGTTTGTCCTGAGGAGTCTTTGCTACCTGGAGAAGATACCTTCCTCCTCTCCCCTCTGAAAACTCAGGTTGCCCATCTGTGTTGGGAAGACATGGGAGTCATCCCACTGGAAAGGACAATAACCTTGCAGAGAGTTTAAGAGAGTGGAAAGCAATCCTGGAGGGGACTAGCAGGGCTTAACTTCACTGCTGTAAACCTCTTCAGGGATGCTGGCCCAGTAACTAACCTGGCACCGCTCCAGTGCTGGGTCTGCATCTATTGTTCTTTGCCCTTATCTTGCAAGGCAAAGGGTTACTCTGTCTTATCTGCTACCACAGGCTTTGGAGGAGGCCCCACGGCAAGGGCAGCTGAGATCATGGCCCTGCCGAGCCCCGAGGGCAGGAGGGGAGCTGTGCTGGGAGAGGACCAGATGCCACTGGGCAGTAGAGAAGAGAAAGCTCTCGCATCATGCCGACTGACTCTCCGTGGCTTTTTCAGCAGCCAGGTCTCACTCAGCACGTTGCATCTACCCACCTTGCCTGGGGAGGGTGGCTGAAGGCAGGTGCTTTCAGGTGCTGCTCCTCACTCGATACCGAGGGCTGGATGCAGCAGTGTGTGGGGCAAGGGATGCTGGGCATCACTTCTCCATGATGTGGCCGGGCATCAGAAGGGGATTTTACCCCTTGCCCAGTGACCCTTGTGACAGTGCTGGCTGGCTGGAGACGAGGGACCCATCACTTCCCCGTGTCCACGGGCAGCCTGTTTCACATCAGCCATTTATTGTGCTGTTCTGCTTTCTTGCAAAATATGAAAGTCCAACCTATCCCCCAAGTGCTTAACCCCAAGTGCTGCTGCATTTGAGGTATTCTTTGTCACCACCTTTCCCCGCCCTTGTCCTCTCAGGTGGGACACCAGGAAGTCTGCCCGATGGCTCGCTTCCTTGCTTGGCAGCACAATTGCTCATTTATCAAATAACTGAGTCACTCCAGAGCTCTGGGAGCCAGGCAGTGCCAGCCACACAGTGCTGTGCCTGCAGTGCACTGCATCGTGGGGATGCCCAGATTCACTTCCACCCAACAGTGGCCTTGGCCATGGAGTGGTCAGTCCTGCCCTCCCCTATACCCATCACTGGCCATGGATTCCCACCCCTCCTCTTCTGGTAGCAGTAGGCTGGAAAGAAATATCTTTATGGTGCAGAGAGAGTTTGGCCAGGTCAGGAGAGAAAGGAGCAGAGGAAGCTTGGGCAAGGGTGAGGGAAAAGCAAGATTTACACTCTCAAACAGCACATTGACAGGCACAAACCCCCCTTCCTCTCTCTCCTTCAAAAGTTTGTGTTTGTTTGTCTGTTGATAAGATGAAATCTCATCCATTGCCCCTCAGCAAGTACCTACACTGAGCTCATGTATTTCTGAATTCACATGGCAGTCTTACCATCCCCTTCATCACAGTATCTGGGTACCTCATGAGTCAAATTGTAACTTGTCCTTAAAGTGCTCCGGCAAAGGGAGGTTCATCACAGGAGACAAGGATGATGTGAATGTCCATCTCACCCAGCACAATGCCAGGAGAGAAGTATCTGAGGAGTCTCCAAAGAGACTGGTGTAGCTCATTTACTCTTTGCTTGAGTCCCTGGAGAGACTCAAGGGGACAAAGGACATGACCACGACTCCACACCTGGTCTACTCGGCTCTGAGCACCATGTGGGAGTTAATTCAGGAGTCTGTGAAAGGCAATGCAGCAGGCTGTGTAGACACAGCAGAGACTCCAAAGGTTGTGTCTGAGGTGTCTGATTTGGGAATTAAAATAAAGCTAGTTACATCCCACCTATTCGTTATCCGCCAGGCTGTTCCTCCTACACAGCAACTTATCTTGTATTTGGAGGCTGGTTTAAGCCAGTGCTGCATTTAGGCACAGCTATTGCTTCTTTTTTTGATGGCATGACCTAGAAACTACCCTTGAGTTGGGTGCACAAAGGAGCAGCATGGACATTCCTGGTACCTGCCCTAGGACATAGCGGGGAGATGGGTCAGTGGAGGACAGTGTAACGCTCACATGAATGCCAGGGAAGTATCCTTCAAGTTTGTCTTAGCTGTGTCAGATACTATGACAGTGCTGGGTCTAGGGACAGTTTTAGAGAGAGGTTGAGAGTCTTATGAATCCATTTGGGAGTTAAGTACACATCAGGGTTTTTTTCAACACAAGCTGTGTTTGTATTTACAGGACAGAGCAGTCAATTAGGACAGCAGGGTTCTCAGGTCTCCACCACCCATTTTCTGCACAGCCTTATCATTTCATCTGTATTTAACAACAGGTTCACGTCTGGGGTAATTCTGACTCAGCTGCTTGGCAGACTCATTGGAGCAGTCAAGCCTGTAGACAGCTTTATTTTCACTGAGGCTTGCAGCACAGAGGTTTGTAGACCAAATCCTTACGAGCAGTCACCAGGGAACATGGTTGAGATCTCTGACCCCAGCTGTGCCAGTGCTGCTGTAACCATTGCAGCTCTGGGATCTGGGGCTATTACAGGCTGTGGGATCACAGGCTGCAGCTACCTGGATCCTTTGTACCTGTTTCCTACCAGTGACGGTCAGGACAAGAGCTCTGTTATGGGCAAGACTTCAATAGCCCAGTAGGAAACACAGGAGCTCAGTAGATATGATGAAAATTCAGAGGCAGGAGGACACATTAGACTTAAAAGTCAAATAAGGTTTTGCAGAAAAGGTAGTAATGCACCATCCTCTGTATGGAGTGAATAGTTCCTCTGAGCTTAGCTTTTATGCTCTTACAAAAGGGTATTTTGAAAGTGTGTGTTACTTTCCTCTCTTTCCTTCCAAGTGCCTAAATTTGAGGATATATCCTTATCTGACAAGTAATACTGAATGGGAAACTATTTTGTTCTGTCATTTACTTCTCATTTGGTCCTGTCACATCCTATCTTTTGGCACTATGTATTTTCTTAGTGTTATGAGCATATATCTGTGCTGTGTGTGAGAGAGTGGGTGTCTGAAATGTGTTTTCAAAGGTCCTTGATAAAAAGCTTTGACAACTAAAATTATCAGAGAGGCATGAGTGAGCTGGTCATGGTAGATCTGAACACTGTCAGGCAGTAGATCATCTGTCTTCAGAGACATTAAGCACTGAAGAGGTCAGAATCACCAGGGTTTTAGTATTTACTTAGGAGGAAAAGTTACTGCTCTTTTCACAGAGCTAATGCTGCTTGCAGATTTAGCTTGAACACCAGAGGGAACATAAAAGCAACAGCAGTGGAATACCTTCAAGCATATCTGTCCAAGTCCTCCTCATTAATCACTTTCTTTCATTCTTGTTTTCCAGCCAAAGCTTTTGGCCAAGGAGTTGCTTGACTTGGTGGCATCTCATTTCAACCTGAAGGAGAAGGAGTACTTCGGAATTGCATTCACAGATGAAACGTAAGTGCGAGAAATCAAAGACCTAAGAGGCAACTCTTAGATCCCAAGAAACCTTGACAGTTTTGTCCTAAGCAAAATGACCAGCATAGAAGACCTGTGTACCCCAAGGTCCTAGACCAAGGTCTAGTGGACCGCACACCAGTCTGTCCTGTACTGCCTCTTCTTTAGAGGGCTGGAGGCTTCTCATGGCAAGTTAAGCATGGCCACAGGTGTACAGAGGCAGTAACAATCCCTTCCTAATCCCTAAATGGTGTCATTTGGCACTGGTAAAGGGTTAGTTTAATCTATCATGTATTTAAGATCTACTTGCTGGTTCAAAATTATTAACAAATTGGCAGAACTGTTCAATTAAAGTGTTAAGTTTATTCACTCAAGCAGGCTTAAAAGTAATGCTAAATTATTTCAAGAAAAGCAAAAACCAACCTCACAAAATTACTCTATTATTTCTGATGTTTTAGATCCCAAATTAGAGTTTCTTAAAAAAGGGAAAGACGAAAGTGTGGGAAAGGAAGAGATTGCCAAATTTAACATCAATGAAAAGCATTTTAAAATATAAAATTTCCATTGTGGAAAGCATGTGACCTTACCAGGAATCACAGAACAGCCTTATGGCTGAGCTAAACTAAAGGATGGGACCCTGGCACTGCCGTCACCTCATGCAATATTGGGTTGTTTGCCTTGAACCCCAGCTCCCAGACTCCTGGTTTTACCACAGAATTTGAGGTTTTGTCTCAAGACAGGCTATTTCTACTCCCTGTTTAAAAGGCAAGTATAAAATTAGCACTGGAGAAACACTAAAGGTCTGCCAAATGCTAGGATTAGTCCTAGACTGTGATTCTCAGTGGTACTGCACAGTCCTTGCTACTTGTTTGCAGCTGCCTGTTTTCTCTCTGTAGTTAGGCTGTCCTCAGCATACAGACTATGCCTCATATGTGCACCCACCATATTCCACCTTGGTTTGCAATAGGGTTTGGTTTTGTATTTTAATCAGGAAGAGGCTTCCTGCACCTATATTGTTTTTGAAAACCAAAAATTTCAAGCCAGTGCTGTGTTCCCAGAACAGCTGAGTCAGCAGTATTGCTGTCATGAGCCAGCTCTGCTCTCCTGCCGAAGTGGCAGGGAAATATAAATTATCTGTTGGAATAATGATTTGGGATCGGGTAATCAGAGGCTGCTGCATAATTGCATGAACATATCCACATTTATCTCAGCAGCGATCATGCCTCTAGAGCCAGTTCCTTTGGCAAGTGCCTGCCTTGGGCAGCCTGAAGCCATCTCAGGACACAGCTCCCAGGATAGAGGAATGCTGGGCTTCAGGCATGTGCAGGAGCAGGACCAGAACCAGAGGAGAGCCCAGAATCCATCCCATCTCACTGACACAAGAAGTTCAGCCCTGTAGGAGATCTCCAACCCAACACAAGTTAATGAGACTGGTCCTCAGAGGAGGAACAGCAGGAGGTACTGGCAATTTATAAACAGGAGGAGGAAATTGCTCCTCACTAAGGTGTTATTTCTTACTGGAGAGACCAAGTTACTTAGTGGCGCTGCCTAAGAGGGGCAGGAAAGCCATGCAGGGAAGCCAAAGTAGACTAAGAGATTAAAATGTTCATTTAACAGTCCTAACAACACAGGTTAAAAAGAGAAACACATGTCAGACTGCAACCAGATAGCAGCTGAGCAAGTCCCAGCTCTTGGCACAGCTGAGTGGGCGCAGGGCTCCCTTGGGAGTGCAAAGGAAGCTAATGAGGAGGTATCAGCAATAAGAGAGAGCCCAGCCTCCCCTGGGGCCTCCAGGTTTAATGCAGAGCAGTGTGAGCAAAGATCTGGGTTAGTGATGGGAGGAAGCACAAGAAGCTGACAGAGGCTGTCGAGGCAGTGCTCAGAGATGCACAGCGGCTGCAGATGGATGTGCATCCTGCAATCCTGGACAGGATTTCAAAGGGTGAGGTGATGGCATCTACTCGCTTGGTCACATTTTGACCTGTAATCAAGATAGAACAGGGTTCTCATTTTAGGAAATGCTCAGCCACCCCAGATGAAGATTTGGGGACATTCTCATTAAATCTTGTCGCTTTGTCTGTCTCTACAGCGACAAAATCTAGTAAACATAACCCAGAAACATCCCAGTAAATCCTAGCTTATATGAAGCTTGGTCTGCAGTCCTTCTATTGTCCCATAGTGAGTCTGACCTTTGCACTGAGGCTACTTCAGTGCTGTGAAAATAACCTTGACAAAAATATTTCCTCTTCAGTTGTTAGAAGCTTTGAATACAGCAATTGTTTTATTTGACTGAACACAGACAAAAATATGTACTTGTGGAATTGGACTGGATCTTGGAAATAGATGTCCCATGTCGACTTCAGAAAATAAACTGGGCTGTCTATATGACAGATCTTAACCTGCAATATGAAATGCAAGTTTAAAAAAATCCTTTCTTCAAAAAGTCTGAAAACCAGTCTCTTAATGTGTGTTTGCACACAGCCCTATAGCTGATACAGACCACAAAAAGAAACAGCCCTTTAATTCTGTGACGCAGGCCCTCAGGGATTTCATTCTCTTCGCTCTTTACTGTTTCCATGTGCCTTACTTGAAGTGAACTCATAACCAGCTAAAACAGATCAAGCCTGGTTCATAAACGTAGTCTGGGGTTGGCTAAATTGCAAGTTTAGTAAGAAGAAAAGCCACTAAAGTATTAAATCAATTCTTCTATTTAAGAGTAAAAGCTCTATCAGAGTAATTTATTTAGAAATTATTTGGACTGGGGATTTCCATTCATTAGTTGTGCTCTATCATGACAACCTAAGAAGAAAATCAATAGGAACAACCTTTGCGTTGGCAACTTAATAGTTTCTTGTGATAATATAGGGTCATTACTGCATTCAGCGTGACTAAAATTAGATTGTCAGACGATTATGGAGGAGAGAATAACGCCTCCTATTTTAATGATCATAGGAACGCTTTGTGGTGTGAGCCATTAACTGCGGGAGAGCACAGGTCAAAAGGGTGTCGTGCAGCACATGGCACCAAGCTTCACATGAAGCCAGAAGAGCTATCACAGGATCACAGAATCACAGAAATGTATAGGTTGGAAAAGACCTTGAAGATCGTCCAGTCCAACCATCAATCCAACATTAACAGTTCCCAGCTACACCAGATCCCTCAGCGCTATGTTGACCCGACTCTTGAACACCTCCAGGGATGGGGACTCCACCACCTCCCTGGGCAGCCCATTCCAACGCCCAACAACCCCTTCTGGAAAGAAATGCTTCCTAGTATCGAGTCTAAACCTTCCCTGGTGCAACTTGAGGCCATTCCCTCTTGTCCTATCGCTTGTTACTTGGTTACAGAGACTCATCCCCAGCTCTCTGCACCCTCCTGTCAGGGAGCTGTAGAGGGCGATGAGGTCTCCCCTCAGCCTCCTCTTCTCCAGACTAAACCCCCCCAGTTCCCTCAGCCGCTCCTCGTATGACCTGTGCTCCAGACCCTGCACCAGCTCCGTTGCCCTTCGCTGGACACGCTCGAGTCATTCAATGTCCTTTTTGTAGTGAGGGGCCCAAAACTGAACACAGGAATCGAGGGGCGGCCTCACCAGTGCTGAGTACAGGGGTCAGATCCCTTCCCTGTCCCTGCTGGCCACACTATTGCTGACACAAGCCAGGATGCCATTGGCCTTCTTGACCCCCTGGGCACACTGATGGCTCCTGTCCAGCCGGCTGTCAATCAATAGCCCCAGGTCCGTCTCTGACTGGCATCTCTCCAGCCACTCCTCCCCAAGCCTGTAGCGCTGCTGGGGGTTGCTGTGGCCCAAGGGCAGCCCCCGGCATTTGGCCTTATTGAAACTCCCCCAGTTGGGCTCAGCCCATGGCTCCAGCCTGTCCAGGTCTCTCTGCAGAGCCTCCCCACCCTCGAGCAGATCAACACCCCCCCAACTGGGTGACAGCTGCAAATTTACTGAGGGTGCACTCTATTGCCTTGTCTAGGTCACATATGCTGCTTGATTAAGAGTGAAAAGGAATGGGGAAAGGTGAGGGTTTTTTTAGTTCAGCCGATTATGAATCTCCGCTAACCACACTTCCCCTTGGCATCAGCTCTTCCAGATTCACTGAGAGCAAGTGGTCAAGATTACCCTTCTGTTAGCCACAGACACCCCATCTGGGCCATGGACAGATTTTCCACGTCCTTTACTTATCCTTAGATGTGAGTCACCTGCTCCATGGAAAACTACCAACTTTTGCATCTCACAGCTCCCTATCTCCATGGGTCCAACGAAAAGCTGATCCAAACCCTTTTGCTCCCTCTCTAGAGGAGAACCTGCAGAGCAGCTTCTTCATCTAGCTAATATATAGGATAAAATCTGCAAGGCATTGAGGCCCCCATTATTTGTGATACACTTGTGCTAGAGACTATACTGACATGATGAGAGTGCCTGGTGTTAAGACCAGTTCCTTTGTCACCAAGTCCACCATTTTGCAAAATCTGTATAGTTACACTCTTATAGCTCCCTGAGCTTTGCAGCCCTTTCAGAAGTATTTCTGCTGAAGGATTAAGACCTTAAATGAGAAAATCTGTGAGCTTAAAGGGCTTTTTTGTTTCTGTCATGACTGATGAAAATGTAAAGTAGTTTATATGGTTTCTATTATGAGAATCAGTGTTTTTCAATGTCAGTTTAATTCAACATGATTTTGATACTGAAGGGGCATGAGTTGGTTTATTAGTCCAAATACCTTTATATCACAAATCAGTGTGAATCCACTTTTCAGAAAACTGGATACTAACCAGGAAAACTGTATAAACAACCACCTTCAGGCAAAGTATTCATTGATGTACGATCTTTACTGAAAGCCCTGATAAAATAAAACAGAACTACTGCATGCAATCAACAATATGAACCCTGGGCACCAGAATCCATACACAGTCTGTAACCTACATGGACCCAGTTTCTTTTTCTAAAAGTGATTATGTATTTGTTATTGACACATCAGTTTAACTGCCAACAGGAGTACAACAAACAGAAAAAATGATCTGGCCTCCAATATTCACCCTCCCTATAGGTCACCCAGAAGAGTTTGCACCATTGTTTGTTAATACACTGATATAAATACCCAAATGAACAAATCAATGGTGATAATGAAACAAAAGCTACTTTGTGTCTCTAAATTGAACCGTGAAGGAAATCCAGCTAGACACAAGCATGTATGAATGGGATCCTAGTGCAAGCTGCCTAAATTGGTCCATGAAAACTGTCAGAATCACTAGATGCCTAAGGTTATGTGCCCATCCTTTTCTCTGTTTTACATGGGATTGTGCTCCATGAATAGTTCTGCTGAAGACAAGAAGACAGCTTCCAGAGCAAAGCGTTCTGTGGTGTAACAGCACTGGAGTTTGACTCCCCCATAGACGACATTTCACAGGCAGATGCCAGTGACTGTCCACTGCTGTCCTCTACATGCCACACATGCACGCTTGAAAACAAGGAGTTAGGTGACGATCTGCAGTGCAGAAGCTCTCAGTGATGAAAGATTATAAGTGGTAATTGAGTACAGTGAGCAGTTAGCTCCTGGCAGTGATTTAAGTGACCTTCCTCCTCTGAAGGTTCTTTAGATTTAAACTCCATGCAGATGAGAGTAATGAAACTCTCCAATGCAAAATCTCGGTGGCAATTAAATGTGTTATTCAGTACACACAACTATGTATGTGTGCAACGTAAATGTGTGACCTGATATGCATATGTATATGCATATATTCTTTTTGTACTGATTATATCAATCAGTTTCTCAAGTTACAATGAAGTGAGAATGAAAAGAGCAAGTCTTTTAAAAAAAACAAAAACCTTGAATTATTGTTCTGTGCACCATGGCTTCTCAACCCTTCATTGTACATGTTAGGCAAACCCAGACATTTCTGTTGAATAAACATAAAGGTAGACACTAAGTCCATTGTCAACAAATCGGTCTCAGTGGGAACGGGTATGTAACACCATCAGCTGCTGGTGGCTGCTACTTTGGTGATACAAATGCAGCTGGACAGGTTCAGGATAGGATGTCAGGCTTAGTGTGGATTTTCCTTGCTCTGACAATGTTTTGTACTTTGGCCTATATGGTTAAATGCTTGTTTTGTACTTTGGCTAGGAATGGGTGAGCAAGTCTAGTTTCAATCACCATGTGTGCTGGGGCCTTCACAGTTAATTTTAGCCTTCCTGAGTTCTGTTAAAAGAAACATAACAGCACTTCAGGACAAAAAAAAAAAAAAATTAGGAAAAAGGACATATTTCAAGATGGTGGATGCAGTGGGAAATGTGGACACCTCTAATTTTTGGGTACCCAGCCTGAGAATTTTTCAGTGGGGCTTATTTTCTGACAGACTATAGCATCTGTCTTCTAGAAAACAAGACTTGTTAAAGTACTGAGCTGTGCAGAACAGCAGGGCATGATGCTGGGATCCCACACTAGGACTGGGCGACTGCATCCCAGCAGCAGGAATAATGGAAGGAGACTCCATCATGCTGCATGCCCAGCCTGCTGAGAACAAGACCAGTGAGGTATTCAAGTTGAGCCCCAGTGAAGCTGACTGACTGGCTGGAGTGGCTGGAATTCTTTCATGCTGCTCTTCAGGCGCTCTCCTGCTGATCTGTGATCCCTCTCCAGGCTCTGGGCATCTATTGCAGGCACTGGCATCAAACGGGTAGGGGTGGGATGGGTTGCCGTTCCCCTCCCCTGGCAACTTTAGTTTAAAGCCAGCTTGGCAAGCTTATGACTGAAGATGCTCTTCCCTTTCTCTGACAGATGGACCCCATCAGCCCCCAGTAAAACAGGTTTCTCAAAGCAAGTCCCATGGTACCAGAGTAGCCAAACCCCTGGCTGTGGCACCGGTCCCATAACCATGTGCTGATTTGCCAGATTCAACTGGCTCTTTCAAATGCATTCCCTTTGACTGGGAGGGCTGATGAAAAAAACTACCTGCACTCCAGAGTCCCTTCACTGCTCCCAGGGCTCTGTAATCCTTGATAAACCTCAGACTGCTCCCGGTTGTATCATTGCTGCCCATGTGAAACAGCAGCTGACTGACTCACTTCAATTCTGTCTCCCCTTGCTTGTCTAGACAGCAGAATGCTGAAGGCAAGGACTGCCTCTGCCTCTGGGTGAAATGTGGTCTGACTGAAATCAATAGCAAAACACTCACAGGATGCAGCCCTAGCATCACTGAAGGCAATGGCAAAATTCCCGCCGACTTCAGTGGGCCCTGAATTTCACCTTGTGTATTTCCACAGTGCCTAGCTTAACAGGGCCTTTATCTCAGCTGGGGAGAGAGATGCCCCTGTAATATAAATAATGGTATTTATAAAGTACCTCTCACGTGCACACAGCGCTCTACAGTGTGGGGAATGTGACAAAGAACAGAGGTCCTGCCCAGGAAAGCTTCCAACAGCAAGGCACGAATGGATAAATTATAGGAGAAAATAATAGCGACAGGTACCATCTAGGCAAAAGAAAAGCAGCATGTGGTAATTGGAGCTGGAACGCTTCATGGAGCAGCTGTTTTTCAGTAGCTCTCAGAAGGAGGAAAAACGAAGCCTGGGCAAACCTAGAGAGGCTATTGCAGGCATGTGGGTGGTAAATAAACTGTCTGAGGCTGTAGAGTCAAGTTTAGCCTTGAGTGAAATATTGCAGGCGTTGTGGAAACTCTTTAACAATAAGAATTTCTAATGAAAATCTTGACAGACTTTTAATGATACGACTGCTCCAGGGGGTTCTAATAAAAAGGTGAAGCTCATAACATTTTGGGCTGTCCCGCTTGCTCGGTGCTGCCAGCTTTCACCCTGACAGATTGAACTTTAGCAGCTCGATTCCCAGACTGAAAAGTTGCCAGGATGATATCGCCTCCACTTCTCAAACATTTATTGTGTGTTTTTCAAATATCATGCAATAGCCGAGGGCAAATAGCATGCATTTCAGTTCATCTTTTGTAACACCTCAGACCTTATTGCCAGCTGTAGCGAGAAACTCCTTTGGTGCCGGGCTCAAATCTATCTCTTCTCTTGTCAGGGGACACTTGAACTGGCTTCAGCTGGACCGCCGGGTGCTGGAACATGACTTCCCCAAAAAGTCAGGACCCGTTGTTTTGTACTTTTGTGTCAGGTAAGTGCATGATGGCAAGCCCTTCCCATGGGATCCATCTGTGGACAACCTGTTCCCTAGAGGCCAGGAAATGAGGCTGTTGGTTTCTCAACATTGTAGAAATACCTGTGCACAAACACTTTTACAGAGGTTTCTTTTGAGCTCTAACACTAAGACCAATAGCTGCCCACAGAGAAACCTTGTATGAGGGCAAGATTATTATGTCTTTACATTTTTCTTTGTGGGTTTTAAACTCCTGGAAAGTCCAAGCTGGGTATGGCTGCAGAACACAGACCTCTTGCTGCCAGGATAACCAACCTGAGCCAGTCACCTGGAGGGAAAACACTTGCTTCCTCACTGGTGAGCCATCCGTTTCCTCTGGATTATGCCCAGGGTGTGCATTATGTCAAGGACCAAATTAATCCCAGTATATCTCAGTCGTATTTACCTCCTGGACTCAATGACATAACAGTATAATGAATTACCTGCAAATAGCACATGATGGCAACCAGTTGGCTTCTGCATGGGCATAGAACATAGACGGGACTGGACCATCCTAGAAAGGTTTTAATGAACATTATGGCAGTTTGGAACAATTTCTCTTCATCTGGGAATTTTGCAAGGATCTGTTAGTGTTTGGAAGCTGCTAGAAGCTGGCGGTGCTCTTGTGTACACAGTGTCTTTGTTTCCAAGGGAGGTATTTTCCAAGAAGACAAATTTGCTCTTGCAGATTTAAAACATGCAGAGAGAGTCTGGGGGTTGGGGTGGCATATGTACAAAATTAAGTTGATAGTTTTGACTTACTTCTAATGGATAGCTCATGTCTAGAACTGGCCAGTGCAGTGTTATTGTGTCTTTTTCTGTTAGCTTTTCCACTCCAGTGTTATATTACATCTGACATCACTCTCATTCATTCTGTAGTATCCACAAAAAAATTAAGACCTACTTTTCTGTTTCTTCCCTTTTGTGAAGCTTTCTTCCCCCACATAGTGATTGTCATTCATTTAACTTCAATTACAAGGGAGGCTTCTAAAAAGAAGAGACTCTGTTCTGTTATGTCCCCATCTTTAGTGGTGGCTGTATCTTAGGACAAATCAAGACTCCAGAACTGGCTTGATGTCTCCCAAGAGAAGAGCTTAGTGTACATTTTGGGTGATTCAAACTGTAAGGGTAGATCCAGTGCTGAACATTTCCAGTGTATGCAATCCAGAAGCACCTGCACCTAGAACTACGCAAAACTGCTGGTGCTCTTCTGCAAAAGTGTTAGACTTTTTGGCAAATTAAAAAAAAAACCAAAAAAAAAACAAAACACCCAACAAACCACTACACACAAAACCCACACAAATACTCCCCCCCCCTCAAAAAAAAACCCCACCACAACTGGAAAAAAAAACCCTAAATCATGAAAAACAAAGCAGCTCTGTTATCAAGCATTTTGCACAGAGCCAAACTGAGGAGTCTGTGCTAGGACAAGGAGCCCGCAGAGAGCAGGGAAAGTTCTGACTGAGCAAGAACTAAGTGCAGATTTTAGGAGTGGAACTGCTAGATGTGTGAAAGCGGGTGCTACTAAGCCATTCTCATATTCATTTCAAAGACCACTCAATGAGCATAAATATTGCCATCTGTATTGTCTTATGAAAGTTGGCAGCACAGTGGGGACAAGTCATTCTGTCAGGATTGTAGCCAAGAGACATCTTAGGACTATGGATCCATACAACAGTTAGTAAATGAATGACCTCTCCTGCTCAGGAATCATAATCCATAGAGGAAATCCATAAGGGAAAAGACAGCATTCAGTGTATGAAAAGTGAGTGTGTGAAAACTAGACTGGCTATGGGCTTGTATTCTTTTTTTGGTAGTAATGAGTGAATTGTCACACTGCATTACAATCTGAAATGGACTGGAAGGCCAGATGCCTCAAGAGTTAGGAATGGGCATTAACTTACCATGGCTTTTCTACTGGTTTTCTTCCCCTGCTTATGTCAGATGCTGGCAAGAAGTTGAAAAGGTTTCCCAGCACTTAAAGAGTTCCCATGCCCATCCCCAAATCTGATCTGAGCAGAAAGCAATTGAGAAGAAATCAACTCCGGACAGCTGGTGAAGTTGGAAAGGCCTCATGTAGCTGTCACCAGCATTTCTAGTTCTGGCTTGGGAACTAAAGCAAGGCTGAAGGAAAAGTTGTGAGGAGACCCACCTACAGACAGGGTTTTATTTTGATAAAGGAGTGCACAGTGGCTGGCAGAGCTATCCATATCCATACCATAAACAGAATACTCCCTCTGTCCCCTGCTGCCATGAGGTGGAAAGCAGAAATAATTAATGCTGTACCATACCTAATTAAAAATGTGTTAATTTTTAAGAGACTGGGTGCCCATGACACCTACTATAAAACTGTTAAAGGCTTGCCTGTGTTTGCAGATACCTTTCAGGCATTACCTCTCTCAAGCATTGCAGCCGAGAAAGATTAGGTTGGTGCTGGGGGTCTAATTGGGGAGATAGTAATACAACTGGATGTGCCAGATGTTCCTTACAGAGAAATCTGTTTACTGTATCAGGATTTAGTAATCATGTGGGGTTTTCCCTCTGGTCATAGTTAATGCACAATTCAACCGCACTGGGTAACTACTGAAGACAAGAAGCTTCAGGCAAGAACAGTAAATGGTAGTTTGTGAAGAGGAGAAGCTACAGAGGAACCATTTTCACCTTTTATGTGACCATCAAATTGTTTTTACCCTTAACATGCCTGCAGTGATGTTGATGGGCAGCATGCCCACCAAAGATGCCGTAGTTTTTAGATTGCTCTAAAATTACATTTAAAGGGAAGCATGCCTTTTAAAGCAGAGGCTTCTTGGAAGAGCCGTGCTGAAAATAGGAAGTTTCACAAGCTTTGCAGCGTGAAATTCTCCTCCCTTATTTAAATCTCTGCAGCACTGTTGAAGCTTCACCTTTTGACACATATTTCCTTGGGGTTTGACATTGTTGAACATTGATGTCCAGTGACTTTACTCTCTTCTGTAATCAAAGACCAAAAATTTCACAGCACTGTGTCAAAGAAGGAGGATTTTAAAAGGATGTTCTTAGCATTAGTTCAGAATAAATTGCTTCTGCCCTTGTACACTTGCACAGCTAACTGAAGCCTCTCTGTCTTCAAGTTGTCATCTAGTGCTTCTCTGGATACTCAGGTTGCTTCTCTGGATGCTCTCCACTGAGGACAACATAGGAAGCTAGGAAGCAATCAGAACTGCCTGGGCAGCTGTGAACCACCCCATGGCTATTCTTGTGCAATATTATTTTATGAGACTCTGCTAATATCCGTTTATATAGCTTTAAAGCCATACATGAAAGCAAGAGGGAGTGCCATGTGTCTTGCAGGGGAGGTGGGACATCTGGCAACAGGATGGGAGTGATATTCGTTCTCATATTAGAACTAGCTTCACTGGGTGGCTTTCTAAAGTCCTGGTCACTTGGTTGTTGGTGAAACTCATTCCCTGCCTCAGAGGGGTTACAGTACAGATAAACCAAGTCAGGTAAGAGTCACAGCTAAGGTATGGGAGAAGCAAAGGGTGCTCGACTAGTTGATTTTACAGAGGTGTTTTGAGATGGGAAGAGGACAGAGAAATTGTACCTCACAACACAAGGTGCATGGCAAAGGGCAGGTAAAGTGTGGAGACCCAGGCAGCAAGGACGTCAGAGGAAAAGATAACTAGCAGGGGTTCAGATAAAGGTTGCTATATTTTTGGCAGGGAAGGAAGCATTTTGCTCTCACACAGGCAGGAGAAGCAAAGTTACCCCCTTTGTGTAAATCTTTGAGGTGGGAGAGGACCAGAGCAGAGACGCACTGTTTGTTCATGGAAAGCAAAGTTGGCCAGGCTTTGCAGTGAATTCTCATCCTCAAACAATGGCCTTGTGGGATTAGCAATGCTCAGCTAGGGAACTACCAGCATGGGTCTGATCTCTTTTATCTTCTGGATGTTTGTCATGCTGTTAATTTATATGAACAAGCTCAGCAAATAAAATTCACTTCACTGGTGGATCTTTTCCCAGGAACAAATATGTGTGTTCTCAGGGTAGCTCCACCAGCCGAACAGTGACAACTCACTGCAGAAGTCGTCACACTAAATCAAAACATCCCTCACGTGGAAAGGCTTTTCTTTCAGAAAGGCTTGGAAAAAAATGTGAAATAAAGCCTCAACACTCATATACACTGTGGGGCAGAGTTTGTATCTATGGCCCGGCAGTTTTCCCATGAAGGAATGCCTGTGTCCAGCAACGTCTGGCATGTGTTCATATGTACTGGCTAGGCTGAAGTCAGCATGGGAGCCGTGGGGGCTCAGGACTCTCAATATTGAGGCCAGACATTTCACCAAGTTACCAGAGTTACTACAGAAAAAAGAGACCAGCACTGAAACACAGAACGCAAAGCTCACGTGTGTCATTGCTTCCTTTAAGGAAGGACTACGTGAAGGAACGTAGCGATGTGTGCACCAGCGGGGTCCAGCTCTGAGGCAGGTGGGACTCGTGTCTGAGATGGGACTCAGGACACCAAACCTGAGATGTTTACCTGGTAGACAGCTCTATCTCAAGGCTAATTAGCACAGCGTCCCTGTATAGCCACTGGAAAGAAATTGGCACTTTTCAGGAACAATGCATCTGACTTCAGACGACTGCTTTGGAATTGAGTAAATTGCAGTCTAAAATACCGATGTCTCTTCTCTGACCTAAGACCCCTGCTCAGATGTAGGCATCTACATTGTAGCTACCTCTTTTCACCAGATGAATCCCGTCTGTGTGCATCAAGGGCAGCCTATAAATTCAGAATATTATTTCAAACAGGGTTGGCACAGCCAGGGCTGAGGAGGCAGTTCCATCTACAAGGCTTTGCCTGACTACCTGAATGGAATTGCACCAGATTTCAGCTGCTAATGAGGCCTTTTGCTATTTTAGTTTTTCAGCTCTCCTTTATATCCAGTCTTTAAACCCATATTCCATTAGAAAAGGACTAATGTTAAAAATAAAAGAGG